GGGGGCAGCAGAGGGGGGGGGGGGGGAGAAGCGGCAGGGGGGTGGGGGACGGGGGGCTATGGGGGAGGAATGACAGAGCATGTAAAGCGGGGGGGGTGGGGAGGGGACAGGCTGCAGCTTCAGCTCCAGCTCCACCCCAACCCTGAGATGCAGCTGGAGCTGCAGCTGCAACAGCTGCTTGCCTTCTCCCCCATGCGCTGCTTTATGTTCAATTGTAAATTGAGGGGCTTTTCCCCTATGTTAAATGGGGGAGGGGGAGGAGGGGGAAGGGACCTAATCTTCTAATCAAACAGACATGGTACTTAGGCTCTGGTTTCAATCATAATGGAACTATGCTGATTTACACCATTTGAAAATACTATCCATTGCTTTTTTTCAGTGTTTTGTAAAGCTTTGAAATTAACATGCTGCTACTTTCTTGGAATAAGATAATGATTTGAATAAGATAACATTTGAATCACATTTGTTCAGAGGATGTGTCTTAGCTAAATAAACATGTCAATCTGATTCATTTATTAAATGAATAATAAAAAGTTTATTTGAAGCTAGAATGGAGTACTGCCAAAGATTTCAATGTCTATTAGAGCCAAGGTCTGATGTTTCTAGTCCATGACTGGCAGAAGTCCTTTTCTTTATCAAATATTTTTTCATAGCCTCATTTCAATGAAGATGGGATGGAATCTGCAACAACAGATCAATGTTATACGGTCAAGAACCTAGTAACCTGGAATAAAGGATTAGTTATATAGGGTTGATGATATCAAGTAGGCTTGTCTAGATTTTGTCCAAACATTTTAGAGGATGCCTCCATGAAAACAGAATCTGCCCACTCTCTCCTGTTCTGTGTATACCAGATACCAAAAAAAATTTGACATAACCATTTTTAGCAAAGGCCTGGGGAGTGCCTGGGCATGGACATGCTCATTAGGGCAATAGCAACATCACATTTTGGAGGGGTGTTTGATGCGTGCAGAATAGAAGTGAACATGAGGAGCATATTTTTAAGGCAAAGCTACCTATCACAGATACAATACACACAAAGGCTAATTTACTAAACTGTCTTTGTTGACAGTATTTGCTGTATTGTATCAGCTATTTAAATGGAAGCTAGATTTGTACTCATATAGTGCTATGCCTTTCCATATTTACTTTAAAGGACACCAGTTGCATATGGTGAAAACACTGTATTTTCTTCCTGCAACTCGGATTGCAAATGTGCCTCAAACCAGTGGGATCCAGTCTGTGGAGACAATGGAATCACATATATAACAGCTTGTCTTGCTGGCTGCAAGGCTTCAACAGGCCATGGAAAGAACACAGTAAGAACTTCCCCACATTTTTCCTATTTTTCGGTACAAGAATGGGCGGTTATTAATAGTGCATACATATTGGACCCCTGCTATACATTGAATATATTATGCAATTAGCTGATTAATTATGTAATAGATTTAGATTGGCCTCATGTGCAAAGTAAGATGGACCACATATGCAAAGAAATGATTACACAATTAACTTATTAATCATGCAATAAACTTAGACCAGCCACATGTGCAAAGTTATTCTCACACAAAAAAATTACTATCCAGCTATAAAAAGAGCCAACCAGCTATGAAGTTATTGCTTGAAAATGTATAACCATGGGCAACTGGTGCTGCCTTATTCAGAGGGGGCACATGCCCTGTGACCAGTCCTGCTGACAGGAAGGGGTCCCCCTGAGGCTGATCTTGCTGCCCCAGGGGACCCCCACAGCCAATCCCACGATGGCCGATCACTGCGGTGGATTGCTGCAGCCACTTCCAGGAGTGGCTGCAACCACTTCTGGAAGCAGCTGCAGTGATTGGCCAGCGCTTGCAAGGTGGGGGGCATCGGTGCTCCCACCTCCCCCCACCGCCCATTGCCTAAGCGGCAAGTGCGGCCAGTCAGGGGGCGCACCGGTACTCTCAGGGGATGCACGTGCACCCCCAAGCACCCCTATGCATTGCCACTGTGTATAACAACTCTATAGCTAGTTTCTATCTAGCTTTAATTTGAAATTCTAGCAGGGCCCTGAATGACCAAACAGATTGGAGAGGAAGAACAATGATAGTGCATTTCTGATGGCCATTGTCTTGCCTGGTAATACTGATAACCCAGGAAGTGATTCACTACTAAATCAAAATTGTATCTTTCAGGTGTTTCATAATTGTAGCTGCACTGAAGTTGCAGGTTTGCTATCAGGAAATACTTCGGTAACTTTGGGACACTGTCCAAAGAGTGATGATTGTTACAGGAAGTTTATTTATTACACAGTCATACAAGTCATAAGTGCTTTTTTCTATGCTTTAGGAGGCACCCCAACGTATATGATTACATTTAGGTAAGTAAAATTAAAAATCATTATTTAATATTATATTTAAGGTTTTTTTCCCCCACAGTGGGAACAAAATTGGGTCTAGATTTTCTATTTTCCAAAAATTGCAGTAACTACAGCCTTTTACTGCTGTATCTTCTTAACCCTGAATGTTTGTTTTATATTGTGTTGCCAAACTTAACTATGACTTAATGTTTAATGCCTTAAAACACTAAACGAAATCAGTCTGTAAGGCGCATCTCTACCCTGCCTTCTGTCTGACTTCAGGCTAACATGGCTAACTACCTCTGTCTAATGTGTAAAAAAAAATCTTGCAGTTGCCACCAAAGTGGCCCATGATGGCTTCTTCTTTGGTTGAATTCTCTATTTCCTTAATGATTATGCTTCCTTGTAATTGCCACTGAATCTATAATAATTCATGTGCACCTGCATCTTTCATGAAGTTAAGTGGGTATGTAATTCTCCCCTAAAATTTTACAATATTATATATCTGCTCCATATATTAGTATCATTAACATGGCAGTAACACAAAACAAATTCAAGTTATTATGACAGAAATGATTATTACTAGGTATGTTTCTGTGGTTAGGAGGTAAACATACAAAATTAGTGTACATTTTTCATCTGAGTGAAGAATAAGAGAAAGCCTCATCTCTGTAAATTCCCCAAAATTACTTGGATGCAAAGTCAGTGGGAATCCTGATGAAACTTCAAATTAGTACTTTGTTGAGTATAGATATAAAAAAGAGAATTTAATTCCCTTTTCCTTTTTGCAGATGTAAATATTATTTAATAAGGTGGTCTGTCTGGTCAATAATTGTAAAGGAAAACAGCAGATACAGAGACAGTTAACTCAAAATCAAATACAGAAACCCTTAGGCAACACCAATTTGGTGTGATGTCTTGGGACATAATTATAAACCAACTTGGCAGGCATATTGTTTTAAGTATTTCAGCATTCCTTAGATGGTACTTTTGAGACTATCATTAGAAGGTTTCAAGATGCTGCTCCAGTGTTGCCATTTCCAGATATTTTTGCACCAGAACAATATGACCATTCCTGTTAACTAATAAGCCCTGACAGAGGGGACAATCTAGCAGGTGCTTGTTGGTATCCATTTCTGCAAATCCTGGATGGAAGTATTGGTATTTCCTTAAAAATTCTCCTCGGTAGTTATCCGCAACACATTGTCTTCCCAGGGCATATACAATGGAGAGCTATCGATTAATTCACTCTTTCTATGTCACATAGTATGTTTTGGCAGGTGTAGGAAACAACTCAGTCCTGCAGCTTTGCATTGTATTTATTATCAAGAATCATAGGGCTCCTACAGATGTGTGGGGAGCCTGCTCTGACGTGCCAGAAAACCATTAATCGAATCTGCTGGAGCATGGAAATTGACACGGTCCAGCAGCCTTCAATGTCACATGTATCAGCGTCCCTGTACATCCCTGCATTGAAAAAATGGTGACGGGGTGCTATGAAATAAAAGACATTCAATGACCTTTAGTTAAAAGCATCCCGTCACCATTTTTTCAGTGCAGGGATGCACAGGCACTTTTAATTAGTGTGGCTTGCTAATTAAAGCACCCGGCACCATGTCCCAGAGCACATGTAAAAATGCCCATAATTCTAGTTGGAGATGGCACATTTTAATGGACACTTGATTACATAGACACTGTATTCATTTATATACATCTATTCTAGGTGTGTTCAGCCAGAGCTAAAATCTCTTGCAGTTGGTCTGTATGTACTCATCATGAGGGCCCTAGGTAAGAGAAATTACTCTAACTATATGGCTTTAAATGGTGACTCTCGGAAAACTGTAAAAGTCTAAAACAGTAAATTAATAAAATGTGGTAAATAACTGTTATCATGATGTTCTAACTTTTATATCAAAAGCTACATCAAATTAGGAAAGTCTGTTTTCATAGTTTGCTAAGGGTCAGATCAGTTAGGTTTGGATGTTCATAAGGAGGTCATCAAGCCTGTGCTCTTACAGGACAATAGTCTCTAGTTAGAATATAAACTTGTTTGTAAGAGATGTTTATCTGCAAAAGAGTGCAAGATAACAGAGCTTCCACAATTGTGGTTTGACACAAGTTTGAAATCTTGATCCTGTTGAAGATCATGTCAAAACTTGCATTGGATTCAACAAGCCCAAGATTCCACTCTAGGTGTGTCATCTTTTTTGAAGGTACAGAACAGTGTAGGGCACAGCCAGCCAAAACATGGGATTCAAATGCCAAGTGCACCCTTTGAAAAGGTAAAACCTGCACTAGTGATTAATCCTGACTCTTCCTAAGCGTCTTCATAATGTGAACCACTTCACACAAAGATGGTTCTATGCATAACTGGCCCTCATCCTCATTCCATTTAAGGGACATACAAGATTCTCAGTGAAAATACACCATATGTGGGCAGTTATATTAAAGAAATGGTTGTGTATTTTTAGCTGTCCTTAATGCTTTGTTCTATTTTGTATAAAATTATTGCATTGGTCTCAAGTATAGTTCTCAAAATCTAATGAGAATCCAGTTCACTGCTGTCAATAGTTCTTCTGCAAACTGTCAATGGTTTTGAGAAAGCAGTTTGGGAGTCATTGGGCCACTAAGTGCTGCAGGGGAGGCTGGTCGGGGGTGAGGAGTTGCAGGCTGGAAGCCTGGCCAAATAATTATTGGACTAGGAGAACTGTGGTATTTCAAACAGAACCAGTAAGGGCCCCCAGCTCACTCACCCTGAAACTCCCAATCCAGTATCTATAAAGGGAGTAAACAGTTCCCTGTATCCTATCAGTCACCTGCAGCAGCAGTGCATCATAGGACAAGTATTTGATAAGAAAGTGTGCTTCTCCATATGACATCCTGAAGTTATTTTGCTTTTTTAATATTACAGCTGGAATTCCAGCCCCAGTTTATTTTGGTGCATTGATAGATAGGACTTGCTTGAAATGGGGAAGAGGAAGCTGTGGGCAACGAGGAGCGTGTAGGATATATGATTCTAATGCATACAGGTAAGTCAAATCAAAACACGAGGGGCCTTACTAACTTTCTTTCTACAGTAGATAACTTATTGCTTGAATGCTGTGGCCATGGTAACCTTATGTTGGCCTCCACTTGATTTTAGGTCAGGACAGAATTTCAAACAAATAAATCTTGGGACAAAGTTCCAATGCCCCTGCTCATTTTTATAATGTTTATTAAGGCAAAACTCTCATTAATGTCAGTGAGCGTTCTTCTCAGATAATGTGCAAATTTCATAAATTTTGTGACCATTAAAAAATCATAGTAATCATATGGATCACAAGCAAACATCCAAATTCATGTGACTTATCAAAAACAAGTGTCTATTAGCAGGACTGCTACTTTTGTTGCATTAGCCACCTTTAAGATATGATCTCATAGGAAATAGTCCTATTGGGCAGCTGAGAGCACTTTACTTATTTGCATATATTGACAAGTGCAGGAAACCACTTCCTCGTGAAGTTTTGCACTGAGAGGGGATTGTAGAGTAATGTGTGTTAAGAATAACCAAAACCATTGGCCTGAAAAATACTCCATGTTATTTGTATTTTTCCTTACTCCCATTAGCCACACAACTGCTAGGCATCTTTACAGAGCAGCCAGAGTAGAGACTTCAGGAAACTTATCTGCTCTGCAAGAGACCTGGCTTCAGAAGCCATTCTTGCCAGTCCTTTGAAAAAAATGAAGTTGCCTTTTGTGGTCTCTTTTCATAGGAAGGCATACCTGGGCCTAACAGCAGGCCTGAGAGCACCATCCTACTTGATAGCTTTATTGTTTTTTTTGATGGTGAAGAAACATTATCAAGCCAAGGACTCCAAGCCCACTGAAAATGGAGGAAAAGAAGATATTCCTATGAATGGAGAAACCAATTCAAAAAGCTGTGAATATTTGTCACGTTCTTCTGACGCAGAAAAAGAATCCTATATTTAAAAATATATATTTGAATCTATATGGCATGAATCAGGACAGCTTCTTGTAAAAACAGGTTATAGAATGTCATGAACAAAACAGTAATGATGTTCAGAATGTTACACGAGTAATTAAGCCATTACCAATGACAAGAGAAGCTAGGTACAAATGTGATTTATATTTAGCTGTGTTTATGAGCATTTTGCCTAACAACACACACTACAAATTTTATGAACAGACTTGAGCTATTAATAAATAATGAAGGAAACCCCAATTTGGCATGATTAATTGCAAGAGTTCTTGATATTTAAATGTTTCGCAGAAAACTGCTCTATGAAGACCATTCAAATCATAAACATTCCCCCACCACACACACACACCTGCTCTCCCCCACCCATGTTCTAGAATCAGTTGGTCTTCTACAAGAAAAATTGTAACTTTTTTACGATTCTATGTTAAGAGAGAAACCTTAAAATACAATAAGAGCTAGGTACAGACAGTCAAAAAGGCCAAAGCTGAATCGATTCAGTCTTTGCAGATTAGTCTAAACTGCACAGATTAAATTGCAACAGAAGTGAACGGACATTTACCTTTCATTTAGGATATGCAGCAATGTGCCTGCAGTGGCTCAGGCTACAGGCCTGGGGGCACTAGAGCATGGCTCTCTGACTGTGTATTCACTTTCTCTTCCTGCTGCCCCTGAAGTCTCTGTGATTTGCAGTCCAGAATTATAGCAACAGGACTCCACAGGATTGCTCATCACTTCCTCTTTCTGCTTCCAAGTGTCTCTGGAATTTGTAGTCCATACTTACAGCCAGCAGTAAATTTGAGTG